AACAGGGAACAAATACCAGAGAGAGACAGCGTGTAACCGATAACTTGCCAAAATCAGATGAGACGGCCGCCGCGACAGAGAAAAAAGGCAAGAACGGTACGACAGGGACAGAAGCTGACAAGAATACATCCACAGAAAATACGGATAAGAAATACGAAAATCCTTTCACGACTACGACGACCAGTACGACTACAACAAAGGCACCAACCACCACCACGACAACCACTACAACACAGGCACCAAGTACGACGACTTCAGAGGCACCAACCACGACGACCACCCGCGCACCGTCACGTCTTCGCGAAATCGACGGCAGCCTCAGCAGCTCTGCGTGGGTGTGTGCCCCGCTGCTGCTTGCCGCATCCGCGCTGGCGTACACCACTGTGGGCTGAAGAGGTGTGTAGGCTGTGCGTGCCAGCACTCGATCACGGGGACTTGTGAGCCTCATTTTTTTCCTAAGTAATAAGTAAGAAATAAGTAATGATTGTGTTTTGCTTCATTTGCTTCTGCTGCCGTGCTGTGTGCTCCGCGTTGTGGCTCCCTGTATCCGTCACGTTGAACGCATCCCAGAAACACTCATATGCACGACACGCATGCAACTGTTTGCGTGGACGCAGGTTTGTGGGTGGTGCATGCGCACTGGAGCCATACTGTGCAGCTTTTTGTTTTTTGTGTTTTTACTGTTTTGCTTTATTGCGTTTTGTTTAATTTTTTTATTTAATTGTTTTGTTTTTCTTGCTGAATAATTGCTGCGGGGCTGTTTTTGTGCGTTTTCCCTCCCACTGATTCCAACTGTCTCATGCTGTGTGCGTGCTTCTGTAGGGATGCTGCCTTCATTTGTCATTGTGTGGTGTAACTTGTCTCTCCTTTTCCTTTCACTCTCCGCTGAATGGGGAGTTGGTTTGTGCTGAAGGCTGCACGCAAGTGACAGGAGTGATGATGATGATGACTGGCCGTGTGCTGCTGGTGTGTGCCCTCTGCGTGCTGTGGTGCGGTGACGAGGGTGTGGGATCTCCTGCTGGTGGTGCTGGCGGTTTCTTGGGAATGGTGGTAAAGGTGCTGTGGGGTCAACTGATAATTCAACGTCAGCACCAGACAGCTCAGATCTAACAAAAGGTTTGCCCAAAGTTAATCAATCAACAGAAACATCTACAGGAAAATCTTTGGAAGTAAACGAAGTTAATGCTGAACAACAGGATGTTGCTCCTGGAGTGGAGGATGAAGATGGAAGCCTTTCAGAACATTTAGAAGAATCATTAAAAGATGATCCAGATCAAGGAAAAACAAAGCCAGAAGTACAAAATAAAGGACAGGAAGGAAGACAACCGCCACAATCGCAAGTAACTGTACCACAGCAACCGCAGCCACTATCGCATCAGTCACAACCGCTGCCGCCATCAGCGCCGCAGCCACACACTCCTGCTTCAGAAAAGGGTGAAGGTGTTGGCGAGAACAATACGGGTGGAGAAGGTCAGTCCTCATTGAGAGTAGAAAATAAGGGAAACGAGGATCCAGAGAACTTCGGGAAAGAAGACTCATTAGATGATACAGGTAAAGAATCAGAAAACAGTGAACAGGTTCAAAAGACAGTGCCAAACACAGTACCGCCGGAGCACAAAACCCAAAATGGAATGTTAACTCCGGAACAAATGACGAATGAAAGCCAAAGCACGGATACATCCACGAACCTACCCGAACTACAAAAGGAAAATAAAGAATATCCTGCCTCTACGGAAGTTGCGGCGCAGAGTACATCAACTGGCAGTCAAGAACAAGAAGCTGAGCCATCTACAAGCGAAGAACCTTTCCCTTTTGAGGAGGAACACTCCACAGGGACGAAGACAACCGAGGATGCTCGAACTCCGGATGCTGCGGCGACAGAAAAAAGCCAAACCGGCGATAATGAAAAGGTTGGCGACAGTGACGGCAACACCGCGGTGTCCCACATAACCTCCCCTCATTTGCTTCTTGTTGTTGTTGCGTGTGCGGCTGCTGCGGCGGTGGTGGCCGCGTGTGAGTGAGGGAGAGAGAGCCGTGCACCGCCCGCACACACACTCGTCCTTCTCTCTCTGTGTGTGTGTCCCCTTGCATGGACTCTCGCCCTCACCTCATCCCACGAAACACACACATAATGTGCCCATTGTATGTATTGCATGCACACCCATGCAGGCCCGTTGGTGCTCTCTTTTGCACGACACGCACCGCTGCCGTCCTGCCTGGCTGCATGGGCGGAGCACCGTAACTGTTTCTGTTTTGTTTTTATTGCATTGAGTGGGCGACCTCTCTCTCTCTCTCTCTCTCTCTTCCTGTGTGTGTGTTTTGCTTTACGGGAGCAATGAGAGTGTGTGCGCTGGTCGTCCCACGCTTTGGCTTTTTGTTTTTTCTTTTGTTGTTTTGTGGTTGAGAGCACCCATTCCGCAAGCTGCGTGTGTGTGTTTGTGTGTGTGATGATATGAGTAATTTGCGTGTGTGTGCTATCCTTCTATCTCTGCCGTTGCTTTATTTGGACTCTCTTGTGCCGCACAGCTGCTCTGCAAGTATAGGCGCTGCCAAACACACAAGCAAATGTACACACACGCCATGTTGCACACACGTGAGCAGCCCCTGCACTGCTAGAGGAGCACTCGGGGCGCTTTGGAATGTCGCAGCGGGCACAATTGGGCTCGGTGCGTTGGCGTCTGTGGCTGCCTTTGTCGACGCTCCGATCCGCTCTGTTGGAAGTGCCGGCGGGGTTGTGGGATGACGGGAGAGCAACGGCAGACACGGTGACCTCAACGCAGTGAGCTCACAGTAACTTCCTCGGCCAGTGGCAGTGCGGATGGAACTGCCATAATGATCGCACCGCCGGCACGCTTGTTGTCGAGTTCCCCGAAAGGAGAGCAGTGAAAGAAGGTCCGTCCGCATGACTCTTTGCATCTCCGCCTCAGGGCTGCGCATCACAATTGGGGTTGCCGTGCGGTTATGCAACAGGGTATGATCTGCTGGGAGAGCGCGCTGTGCGATGCTCCTGCACCTGTGACTGGTGCTGTGCCGTTGGCGGATGTTGAGTGGCCGATCATACAAATATTGCGACACCACGAGGAGAGCAGACCAAACACTCCGCGTGGAGGGAGCGTTGCGGCTGGTGAGGACTCTGTGCGACGGTGATGGACGTTCTCTCGACGGCGGATTGACGGTCAGTTCATTTGGTGGAGTCGTTGCGCATGCCGTGTGTATGGCCGCCTCTGTGTTTTCCTGTTGCTCCGCTGCGTGGGCCGCATTCTGACGCATTACTGGTCCCAAGCCATTTTGTTTTTCTTTACTCTTCTTTTTCCTTTTGCTTTTCTCTCTTCCCACATCCAGGCTGCGCTACTGCTACTGCTGCTACTCACGCGAAACCAACAAATGCAAATTACTCAAGTCATGCGCCAGCCACGACACGCCACGCCGCTTCTCCCATTGGTGGTGTTGCTGCTGATGGGCTGCGCCAGTGGGTGTATTGCCGCCGCTCCCGCCACACAATACCGCTTTGGGTTTGACGTGATGATGAGGAGGAGCGGCCGGCTGCCGACTGCGGTGGTGCGTGAGGTGCCGCGCAAGGGACAAGGCGAGATGCAGGCTTACACCGTTGCCACACAGGATGACGACAGTGGCTGGGAGCCGATCCGCATGGCGGTGTCCACGGAGGATCTGGAGAGGCACGAAGAAGAGGAAGAAGTACTGCGAAGAGGGAGAGGATGAGTGCTACAACGCCTTGGGGCACAGGGTGTCATGCAAAGCAGAGCATTTCCTGACGGAGGCAAAGAAACAATTGTACACTTGAAGGATTCTTCCCGGTGCCGTCAAACTGCACACTGAGCGACTAATTGTGAAATCTACTGGCGGGACGATAACTGTACCGAGGGCTATGAATGGACCGTGCAGCCACTTTACGGTTCCTACCAGACAAAAGAGTGACGGTGTGCCGAATGCAGATTTTATCATCTACGCTGCTGCTAGGCCATCAGGCACGGATAGCAGGGCTGTGTGGGCGGCCACGTGTAACACACTGACAGATCTTCGACCCTACATTGGCGCCATGAACTTTGACCCGAAGTACATGACTGACACGGCGTGGAGCGTTAGCGTTGCCGCACACGAAATTGCGCATGCACTTTGGTTCAGCCAGGAGAGCATGAGAGAAAAGAGTCTGGTGAAGAAGCGAGAGAGAAGTGTGCGTGGGAAGCACCGCAGGATGGTGGCAGGGAAGCACGTTCAGGAGAAGGCGAAAGCGCACTTTGGTTGTGACTCTCTCGAGGGCATGGAGCTGGAGGACGAAGATGGCCCTCGGGAAAAAGCGATCCTTCACTGGAAGGGACGCCACGCGCGGGACGAGCTGATGGCCCCCGCAGTCGGCGCCGGCTACTACACGGCTCTGACGATGGCGTTTTTTGCGGATATGGGATAATACCGCGTGAATTGGAGCATGGCGGAGCCGATGAGCTGGGGCCACCGCAGTGGCTGCGACTTCCTGGTCAACAAGTGCAATACAACCGATAATCTTGCCGCCAAGTATCCTCACATGTTTTGCGATGCTAAAGACACAGAGACACTTCGCTGCACCTCTGACCGCCGTCACGTTGGGACGTGCACCGCAAGCATCGTTGAGGACAAGCAGAGTCTGGTGCATAAGGACGTTTGCCCTGTTGTTTCTTCCGAATTTCACGAAATATCGTCTGGGACAACGTACAGGACGTGCTCGGACGAAAATGTGGATTATCTCCGTGGGTCGCTGACTGGCGGCGAGTCGTGGTGCCTGGACGCGGAATTACTGGAGACGAAGGATGGTGATGGCCATAAAAGCGTCAAGGGAGTGTGCGCGCAGGTGTCGTGTGAGGATGGCACAGTGAAGGAGAGGCACCTCGGCAGCAGTGTTTTTCAGCCTTGCCCTGAGGACACTGATATCCCAGTGACGTTGAAATATTTTCAGAAGGATGGGAAGATTAAGTGCCCCATGTACGGCGAGGTGTGCACCATTGCCGCCAACGGCAGCAGTCTTGTCATTCCGAGTGCGTTGGTGAATGGACAGGGTGACGAGCAAGAGGAGGAAGCAGAAAAGTCTGCGGTTGCTTCAGGGTTGCCTTCTCCGGAGGATACTCGTCCACAGTTGTCTCCTGTGGCGTCTGGTGCCTCCATTGAAAAGGAGCCTCCCGGTGCTTCGGCTGCGGGTGTCGCTGGTGGTGGCCTTCATGCCGGTCCGAGGGGTGATCCGGGGGTGCGGGCCGAAAGTGAGGACAACACTCAGCGGCGAGGGAGGAGACCTGGCAGTGGAAGCGAGGGAGCCAACAGAGCCTCCGGCCCCGACGCTTTTTTTTTTTCGCCATCACCCGGCGAGGACGTTGCACGAGCGGAGGGCGACCCGCGGGCGGATTGCCCAGCGGTGATTCCCAGTGCCTCCGCGCCTGCCACTCCGATTCCGTCCGTCAACAGCGACGATTTTCAGGCGATACCCGATGCGTTGGTACAGCAGGCCGACAGTGATTGTTGTGTGGCTGCTGCTACTGCTGGCCTCATTCCCTTTGTGCTTCTTGTTGTGGTCGCTGCGGCGGTAGTGGTGGTGCCTCTTTGAGCAGCCGCGGCGGCTGGGCGCAATCAAACTGCGGCAGGGCGACACTATTTACTTTGCACATTGGCCCCGCACTTAAGATGTGCAAAACCGTAGCAATAACGCTATAATACACTCACTGCATTCCCCGTGTCCTTCTTTGCTTGCGGGTGATGGGCAAAATGACCGGTCTTTCATTGCATTGTTTGTTATTCTGGGAAAAGGTGTTTTTTTTTTTATTGCTTAGAGGGTTTAACTTTCGTGAAAACTGTGTGTGAACGAAGTAACATGGAGAGAAAAGACATTTCCCGGCACCACATGTATACACGCGTTTTTTGTTGCGATTGGGACGAGGGGAAATCACCGTACTCTAATCATGAGTAAAAAGTAAAGGAAATGTGTTCCAATGGAGGCGGGGTCGTGCCAGTAGCTGTTTCTCTGAAGGACAGGGACGACTGCCTTTGCCTCCGTAATTGGTGCATGCGGCTTTATCTTTTACGCTTTTGCTTGGGTTTGTGACTTTGCTTTTTTTTTTTGTGCGTCATTGCGAGAATGTGGGCCTCAAATAATTTTTGTGCTTCGGCTTTTAATCTGTATGCGTCTTTTTTGTTTTTCTGCCTTCCCGATTTTTTGCATCCGTTTTTGATTGGCTGTGTCTGTTTCGGGTGCTCTGCTGCACTTTGGGTAGTGTGTATTAATTCCTTCTGTCCCTGCTGTTCTGATTGTGAGAACACGCTGTGGGTCAGGGTGCATGGCTCCGTGGTTGCGTTGGGGCAGCCCCGACAAGACTGCCAACGTGTGGCTCTCGGGTATCTCGTTGAGCTCTTTTCCGTCTCCTGCGCGATGGACTCCCATCGTCGGCGCATCCTTTCGTGCAGTGGCGTCGGCGCAACAAGGTGGCAGTTTTGTTGCTGTTGCGGCTTCAGCTGTTTTGTGTTTCCCTCTGGTATTGTGAGGTGCAGGTGTCGGATGTGGCGGCAATGAGCCGAGCATAAGGAGGAGGAGGATGGTGCGTGCGTGCGTGCGTGAGGGCCCTGCGGTGTTGGAGCGGTGCGCACTGTTTGCGGGCTTGATGCGTCCCTTTGGTGCATGGCGTGACTTTGTGTGCCCTCCTCGCCGTGTGTGGTGCCAGCCGGCTCTTCACGATTGTGGCAATGGCGTGTTGACAACTGTGTTTGGGTTGGCGTTGGCTGTTCCACCCTCTGGGGCTACGAGGGCGAATGTGTCACGATGAGCGACACCAATCGCGCACGACGCCTGGTCTGCAGGCAAGTGACGCACCGATTGTCGACGCGGCGCGGCCCTCTTGTCTTTTTCGTCCCTCTGGTAGCCTACAGTCTGATGTCTAGCCGTAGTGTTCTCCTCTTTTCTCACTCCTTTTGTGTGCGACCGCATGCACTGATCACAACAATTGTACAATATAAGTATTACGGAGTGCAGGTTTGTGTGTGTGTGTGTGTGTATGTGCCTGTTGCCGCGGATTGGAGTGTGTGTCGTGCGTGGTGTGCGGCGTACGGTGCATGCCTGGCTGCTGCCCTCTCCTCATGTGGTGTGCCCTCCGTGTGTGTCTGCCGCACCTCTCGTCTCCCCTGTTGCTCTCCATTTTCCTCACTGTGCAGATCAGCTCCACACCACTGAACGACCACACTCACGATGATGATGACGTGCCGTCTGCTGTGCGCCCTGTTGGTGCTTGCCCTGTGCTGCTGCCCGCCCGTGTGTGTGAAGGCTGACACTCAGGCGGTTGTTCAAGAACCTTCGAAGAGCACGACGACGAACACGAAAACACAGGCACAAAAAAATACGAAGAATACTATACCTAAAGCTGATGTAGACGCCAACAGTCGTTCTTCTATTTCAGAGTCAGGACTACAGGTGGGAGATGAGTCAGGGTTGCCAGGTACGGGGGCCACTGCGGGACAATCAGAAAATAATGCGCCAGAGACACCAGGCTCTACCGGTCCGGAAAAGCAATCAAATGAAGTTTCCAATGCAGTACAGACAAAAGGTACGAACAGTGTGACACAGCCACAAGGTGGCACGAAACCATCCACGGAACAAGCAAATCAGGTCGCCGAATTTGGTGCCGCGACGACCACGACGACCACTACACAAGCACCAACGAAGTCCACTACAACACAGGCACCAAGTACGACGACTACAGAGGCACCAACCACGACGACCACCCGCGCACCGTCACGTCTTCGCGAAATCGACGGCAGCCTCAGCAGCTCTGCGTGGGTGTGTGCCCCGCTGCTGCTCGCCGCATCCGCGCTGGCGTACACCACTCTGGGCTAAAGATGTGTGTGGGCTGTGCGTGCCAGCACTCAACCACGAGTATTTGTGCGCGTCTACTGTGGTCCAATGTAAATAAATAAGAGAAAGTAATGGTTGTGTTTTGCTTCATTGGCTTCCGCTGCCGTGCTGTGTGTTCCGTGTTGTTTTCCACATTTATCACGTTGAACGCATCCCAGACAGACTCATATGCACGACACGCATACAACTGCTCGCATGGACGCATGTCCGTGTGTGAATGCATGCACACTGGAGCCATACTGTGCAACTCTTTGTTTTTTGTGTTTTTACATTTTTTACTGTATTGCTGTTTGTTTACCTGTGTTTTGTTTTTAATTTTTTTTTGCTCATTATTAATTGCTGCGGGGCGTTTTGTGTGTTTTTGCCCTTTCACTGATTTCAACTGCCTCATGGTATGTGCGCTGCCGCTGCTGGGGTGCTGACATTTGTTGCTGTGGCGTGGCTGTGTGACTTGTCTCTTTTTTTGCTTTCACGCTGCGTTGACGGGGAGTTAGTTTGTGCTGAAGGCTACACGCAAGTGACAGGAGTGATGGCGATGATGATGACTGGCCGTGTGCTGCTGGTGTGTGCCCTCTGCGTGCTGTGGTGCGGTATTGATGGAGTTGCTGAGACCGAGGAACCTGTAATTGGAGTGGTGCCCGGTGTGGATGAGTATTTGGTTGTGGAGTGGCGCTCTCAGCTGCGGAGTGAATGCGCGGAGAAGGCCGGCAGGAGGACTGGAGGCAGGGCAAATCCGTCCGCCGTTGAGGAATGCGTGCGTCAGGGGATGGAGGGTTTGCGTACATTTGTGGATGGCCGTCGCCGTTGGAGGCGTCAACAGTTCGCCGTGGCGGCTGATGATGATGGTTCTGGTAATGATGGCAGAAATTCCGTGTCCTCCCAAAAGGCTGTGTCAGTGACTGGCACTGTTTTGCCGGATGATCCAAAATTGAAATCACCGATCGCTCCAGGGCCAGTACTGGCGGATACAACAACAGGAGGAGGGAATTTACTGATTCCCGCAGGGTCTCTTGAGACGGCAAAAAACAAAAATGGAGAACCATCAAAGGAAACGGATAAGGGGGAAAAGCCGACGGTGGAAAACAGAAGTCATGAAGGTACCAATGGTGACGAACAAGTTGACAATGCAGCCATCGGGAATCCAAATGAAGACCCAGAAAACAAGAAAGGTGAAACGCTGCAATTTGGGGAAGAAATTGTGAAAAACGAAGAAAATGAAGTGAAAAATGGATTGGAAGAGATCAACACGGAAACGGATGAAGAGAACAGAAATAAGGCCGCTGAAGATCCCGAGGGAGATGATGAAGTCACTGTACTTTCATCTGGTGGCCAATATAATGAAGAGGGTGAAAGACAGACGGAAAAAGATTCAGGAAGCAATAAAAAAGGAAACGAAGTGAACGGGGGTGGTGCTACCGACGGTATATCTGCCGTAGTACCTTTAGTTCTTCAGCCTGCTTCCCCTGTTGACGTTACTGATCGTCGAAATCTTGAGAAAAAAAATGATGGCGACACTGGGGGAAAACGAGACGCCGGAAGAACGCAAACGCAAGAAGCAGCAGTACCATCACAGGCAGAGAAGTTAGCAGCAGAACTAATTACCGAAGAAGAAGCAGCCGAAACAGAAACAGGAACCCCGGGGAAAAAGACGCAACCAGAAGATGCAGGAAAAGAACAGACAACCGTTGGAGCAAAATCAAATCCAGAAACACCTGCCGCGGCAAAGGAGGCAAACAACAAAAAAGAGGTACCAAAAGAAGAGGAAGATTCAGGAAAAGCAACAACAAATGAAAATTTTGACAAAAAACGAACAGCCGGAAAGGACAATGCCCACAATGAGGCAGAAACCACAATGCAAGAAAATGAAAACGAAGTGGAGAAGGCAGAAGGAACACAAGCAGAAGCCGAAGGAAATGAAGAGCAAACCGGAAAAAAAGACTTTGCAGACAAAGACCTTAAACTGAATGGCACGGCAATTAATGCCGACAGTGACGGCGGCACCGCTGTCTCCCACTTCACCACCTCCCCTCTTTTGCTTCTTTTTGCGTGTGCGGCCGCGGCTGCGGTGGTGGCCGCGTGAGAGTGGGTGAGAGAGAGCCGTGCACCGCCCACACACACACTTGTCCTTCTCTCTCTGTGTGTGTGTCCCCTTGCATGGACTCTCACCCTCACCTCACCCCACGAAGCACACACATAATGTGCCCATTGTATATATATGCATGCACACCCATGCAGGCCCGTTGGTGCTCTCTTTTGCACGACACGCACCGCTGCCGTCCTGCCTGGCCGCATGGGCAGAGCACCGTAACTGTTTTTTGTTTTGTTTCCATTGCATTGGGTGGCCGACCTCTCTCTCTCTCTTTCTTTCTCTCCCTGTGTGTGTGTTTTGCTTTACGGGAGCAATGAGAGTGTGTGTGCTGCTCGTCCCACGCTTTGGCTTTTTCTTTTTGTTTTTTTCTTTTATTGTTTTACTTGTGTTGTGGTTGAGTGCACCCATTCCGCGTGCTGCGTATGTGTGTTTGTGATGATATGAGTAATTTGCGTGTGTGCTATCTGTTTTTCTGTTTCGTTGCTTTCTTTGGACTCTCTTGTGGCGCACAGCTGCTCTGCAATTATAGGCGCTGACAAACATACAGACACATGTAAGTACAGTCACGCCATGTTGCAAACGCTTTGGGGCTGTGTGAACGCTGAGAAGGCGTGCACACACAAGATGGTGGCTGGGGCTACCCTTGCGAGAAGGGAAGACGTGAGCCCGCGATTTGTCTTGTCGAGGTGTTGCTGTCGTTATTTTGGCGGCGTGCAGCCAGTGAGTGGTGTGGCATTGAGGGTGCCTGGGACGAGTGCGGATTTCTTCCCGTCCAGCTGCTGCGCGTGCCGATGTGTCTTTTTTGCTGTCCATCGGCTGAAGAGGGATTCTCCGGCTGTGCGGAGTGATGTGCGCCGGCGGTTGAGAAGCGGGTGCGCTGGAGGAGAGAACAATGAGATGACTAGCGGCAGGACTTGGGCTGTGCAAAGGACGGTCGTGCTCTCGTGCCTCCCGCTTGTTGTTTGTTTGCTTGTTTTTTTGTGAGGGCGCAGCTCGGTGTGTGCTGACGCGTGAATAACGACACACCCGCCGTGACTCCTGCTGCTGGTGGTGACAGCCGTTGTGTGTTCCCGGTGCGCTGTTCATCCATCTCCTGTTCCGTGTGTCTGTGTGCGTGAGTTTTTGTTGTGGGGAGCGACTGCGGTGCGGATGATGATGCCACTCACTGTGGATGGGTGGCGGTGCTCACTGTTTCATTCTTTTTTTATTGGCATGTTTTCTCTATTTCTCTCTCAATCGCTCACGCTAGGAGGAAAACAAGC